AAACCGTCTTTAAGAACTTCAAACAGCGTCTGTAATTCTGTGACAATAATTTTCTGATGTGATTTAGACCTGCTTTGGCTTGCACTCCCTTAATACGGTACGTTTCCTTTTGATTCAAAATGTTCAGCTGCTCACGACTATCATATCAATTGCAACGGTGCTCAAAAAGGCTGGTGATGTTTGGATCACTGACACATTATCATACAACACTGGGGCTAAAATCACACTGCCTGATCCTAAACATTAAACAGCAGGCTAGTGCTTTGTAGTGCTAATTGACTGCAGTTCTACAGGTGGGTCTTCACAGAAACAAACACTGCAAGTTAGCACTTATTTCATTTAAAAAGCAGTGCCCTGGAAAAAAAAAAAGAACATCTGTTCAGACAGTATATATGAAGGTAGCAGGGCTCTAAGCTGACTTGTCAGACGACTAATTATTAATATAATTATAATTAAAACTGTAGATATTTTGGTAGTTAAGACCAAATAGCAATTGAGACTCCATATAAGTTTAAGCATTGCTCTTTTTTACTGAACATATTGTTTACCTTCATCAGACAGCAAAGGGTACCTCTAAAGTGGCCACCTTCAAAATATTTTAAAGCCAATTTCAAGAAAATGCAATGTTACTTTCCACAGTACAACTCTTCATATAATGTACCACTTAAAAAAGTAACTGTCCTGTCATATTGTAGACAGCTTAGTTTCTCTTTTAATTCCTCAATGGGCATGCTATGTCCTAGGTTATCAATATATATTGGCAATTTCTGTAACGTTTAGTTAATGTTAATGCCATGTAAAAAGCTTAATAAAAACATTCACAACATTTACAGTGGAATTAACGCTTCCATTTAAGGTGCAAACTAATTATACATTTTGTATCCCCATGTTTTCCAGTGCTGTAAATTAAATTTGTAAATATTTTTGCATACATCAACAATATATTTGAAGTCTCTACAATCCTAATCTTGAAACCCAGAATCACTCAAAACCAATATAAATTCCTGTTGCAAACTTATTTTTCATTTATTAAGGAACCTCCACAGTAATTAAACCTCTCAGTTGATCTAAAACTCTGCTAAATGATAACATTACAGAAAGCTGGCCTGCCTGCGTTATTCAAAATTTATCACTATTTAGTCATCACAAACAGTAAAACAGAAAGCTAATTACAGGCTAACTACTGTCCAATTTCAAGGGCACAGGAACATATTATACATTCAGAAGTAATTTGTACTAGACGCTCTTAAGAGAAGTCTGAGGTGTCACAACAGATGTGGTTTTAGAAGTTAAAGAAACCCAGAGGCTACATGCTACCCTTTATAAAATTTCGACGATGACTTTGCATTATTCATTGGAGAAAAACCACCAAGCGTTTATACTTTAACCTCAAGTCACTGTACCACCAAGTAGGTTAAACCCACATGCGAGAGCAGTAACTGCACTCCAATCCATTCCCTGCAGAATGCATGATTTCCATACGTCACTAGCGGAACTCTTGATGACTAAAATCGATACTAGAGCACAACTGTACCTTGTTTTCAGGACTGAATATTCTGCAATCTATACAATCCTGCAATTTGCAAATCTTGCAAAACAAGAGAAGGAAGATCAAGTGCATGAAAATGCACTATGAAATCCTCATCCTTGCCATAATCTGTTCTGCACTGGCCACTCATGCAAAGAGTGAACTGGACAAATCCAGTAGTTATCAATGCTGAGGTCTACTGAAAAACTGACTCCTGATCTCAGTACAGGCCTATTGCAGAGGCCTATTGTGAGGAATCAACATATAAATTAGAGCAAGTCAGGGACAGCATTGTGTGTTCCTGTCCTACATCCAACAGTATAACCACAGTCTACGTTAAGCTAAAAGCAAAAAAAGCATACTGGCATTTTAACCAGAAAGGGGATGTTTTTTATTCTTGCATCTTAGAGCTCCTAGAATTCGGTCCTGTTGCAGGCAATTCCATTACTTTGATTCGCAGATGGAAGAACAAGTTGAAACAAACCCAACTATTCAAAAGGAGGGGTTGTTAACTTGGTATGATGCACAGTGCGGTACAAACTACTGAAGCACTGCGCCATCTGTGTTTGAGTCTCGGTTTATAACCAACAGCATTGGGCAAAGAACTGTGTAAGCATGACTAAAGATAGGACACTAACAAGCTCAATCAGTGGGTGAGAAACAAAGGGATTCCCTTTTGGATTGACCCTTTTCGCATAAGGCTGGGTTTAACCTGTGTTTAGAAAACTGCCCTACATCATTCCAAAGAACTGTAACACTGAGACCGGTCAGCTAATCAAATTAACTATGTTTATGAAGAGCTGTCCACTATGTCTGACTCCTGAAATTCAATTGTGTCTATCCACTTGACAGACACAGATTTGAATTAAATTTCCTCATTACAAGTAACTGTGCAAATGTGTAAATTAATTACAGGATTCAATAAGGGACAGCTAAGTCTAGCAAAATTTGCCACAGCTGCAAACTTACAAATAATCTAAAGATCTCAAAAACTATTCAAGTGTTTCTAACATCAAAGTTTCAAATCATGAATTTATTCTCTGTAAAAAGAGTGCATAATTAGTTCTGTTTATTTGGATTTAGTGAAGTATGTTGAATAATAATCACTGTTTCTATGTTTTTTGTTCCCTACCACCATACCACCTACTCCTACTACACAGCATCAAAAATACCTAATTGAAATATCTAAGTAGTTGGTCTTATCAGCACCTGTAAGCCAATAAACATGCTTGTTCCAAAATCTAGCCTGCTGAGTGGCTGTCAAAATTACATTCAGCATGCATGTCATTAATACCAGCACTGCTTTATTAATCTCTGTAAATACACCCAGTTACACTACCTCACAGACACTTCTTAAGGCCACACCCACCTCCGGTTTGTAATTTTAAAAAAGGTATCGAAATAATTATCGTTCAGGAAAAGGGCTTGATATCGAAACATTTTAACAATACCCAGTCCTACCTGTCACCTGTAGACAAAGAGAGAACAGCAAGCTTATAAAGAGGTCCATGAAGAACAGAGCTCTCTTCAAATATCCTCAAATATGTGTTCAATCATAAAATATGATTCTGATCTGTCATAGTCCTCATGTTACTCAAATAAACCACTTCCTGATGGTAATTATAGGAAATAATATACACCTCAATTATTCAGCATGTTTACCTACCTAATCAATCAACAAAAAAAAAAAACAAAAGCAACTAACCAAACAAAAATCAGCGATGTGGGATCAAGAGGAAAACACTTACAGGCTTACAGTCTTGCCAAAAAGCTCTGATTTTGCCAAATAAAGTTAGCAAGGTCAACAGTGAAAATGTGATCCTGGATCAAGAATATATTAAAATAATATGTAAGGAAAGTTACAGTCAACTGGCTTCAACCAGAACTTATTAGATTTACGCAGCACAGCAATGGTCCAGAGACAAGTCCAAGTTGATTTAGCTGGAAAAGTATGCTGACCCACATAACTCTGACTTGGCTTTCCTACTACCCTGCAAAATTGTTAACATTCAACACTGCAATTCCTTTGATGGAATAGTAGAGGAAAGTCTGTCAGCTCTTTCTGTGCAAAACACTTGCTTTCTAGCATAAGACTGAGTTGGGAATCATTTTTAAAAGATGTCTAAAAATATACTATCCTTACAGTTACAATGAACAGGTTAACACATTATATGTTTACATGATTTGTGGTAACAATATTTTCTTTATTCATTAACTTGATCTAAAACTAGGAGACCATAACAATAAACTTCATGACATGGCGTTTCTAACATATCCCATCTTGTCCACACAAAAATGGCGCTGTTGATTCAGCATCTGTGCTGTTCAAAATTAAATCCAAGCTCTAGCATTATTCTTTTTTGCCTGAGGTCCCAACCTCATGGGACAGGACAATATTGGAGAAGCGCAAGCAGACATGCTTGTTTAATGTCCCATTCTCAAAGTATTCGTGACATTAACTCATTTCATCCTCTCTGGCTTCGCAGGGCACAGACAACAATATTATGCACCCCGTGTAGCTGTAACAAAGCTTTGCAATGCCCTATTGAGGTAGTGTCATTAATTTTAAAATGAAACTAAATTTTAATATTGAGCTCGCTACTACATATCTACATGTAACTATTTTATAAATAGTAAACTATTTAAGCACGTGACAAGTAAGAGCTAACCCGAGATCAGTATTGTTCCATGGAAATGTCTGAAAAAATAAAAGCCTTGGTGATCTTTGCAACACCTCAGAAAAGGGTATATGAGTCCCTGGTGTGATCCATTCTAGTGTGAGGGGAGCTGCATGGGGCTCACGTGTCTGTGCTTAAAGGCTGGGAGGGCACGGCCGTGAAGCAGAGCTGCACACGTGGCCTCCCAGGCTGAGAAACCGCCCACCCTACACACTAACTGAAACTGACAAATGAAAGCTGCAAATAGGGACAAATATCCATTGTTTGATGACTCCTTGTGTGACAGCCGTGTGGACTGGCTCCAACAACACTGCTTGAGTTTAAGTTGAACTGACAATTCACTGATCAAAGCTTATTATAAAGAGAACAAAGCTTATTGTAATTTAACAGCTATAACAAATTTGACAAATTAGGGTCTGGTGGGTAATTCTGGTGAAGTATTACCACACAAAACCTGGGACAATATGGTCAATATGGGTCAAAGATTATCACTAAAAAAAAAACGTAAAACGTTTATATATCATGTTGTTAAGGAACTTCTTAAGCCTACTTCTTTATTTGCTAACACTAAAAATGTATTTTAATTGCCATGAGTGTAATTTTAATCCGAAATGCTTTATAACCTGAATAGAAAAGGAATAGCATTGACTGTCTTGCCTAAGCAAATTTTCCAAAGCTGATTATTCTGAACGCTTTTAAATTTTAATCACACTTTGATTTAAACTTGTAAGCCTCTGCAGCCTCTTAGCAAGGCATGCAAAGTCAAATTAATAGCAAATGATTGCACATCCTACCTGTTGTAAGTGTAGGTGGGTGGACATGGCTGGGGCATCGCCTCGGTGGGCCTCTGCATTCCTGGTGCGTCCCCATATCCATTGCCCCGAATCCAGCCATCAACGGTCGGCAGTGGAGGATACAAGCCTAAAATGGGCTTCTGGTCAGGTAAGCTCATGGCTGAGGAGGTGTTGGCTCCATAGTGGTACGACTGCCTGTCCATGCCACCAACACCTCCCAGCATTAGTGGCCCTCCGTGGGGCCCCGGCATTCCAGACATCTGGCAGTAGCTCCTTCTCTCATTCTCTTGTTTAATGACCCCAGGCGTGCAAAGCTGAATAAAGTCAGTGTCCTTCTCCGTCTTTATGACTGGCATGTTGACACCAGGTTCCAGCAAGTGCTGTGGATGTTCTTTCCCATTGCTGTTCACATTTTTACAGGTTCCGCTGTTGCCAGTGACAACGGGCTTAATATCCTTCAACATGTTGCTGCTGTCTCCGAGCAAGGCGTCCTCCACTGCCAGGGAGGAAAGAAAGGCAGTGTCCTCTGTCGCATAGAAATCATTAAGTTCCGAAGGTGAGCTGGGCAGGTCCAGACCCTGCAGGATGTCCAGAGTGTTTTCTTCCAGCAGTTTCTCCTTTCCATCCACATCCTTTTCTGGCTGGCCATAGGGCCCAAAGTCATAGCTGACCTTATCCAGAGGGGAAAACTCCTCTATTTTAAAAGCGAACGGCTCAGGGGCCCGAATGATGGAGTTCACTGAGGTAGAGGTGCGATTTAAGTCCGCAATGCTCTCATCCAAGAGAGCAAAGTTATCCCCAACGTTAAGTCCCGGTGGTTCCTTCTGCTTTTGCTGGTGCTGCATCGTGAAGGTTTTAACATACACCTTAGCATCTGGCTCCTGAGTGCTGTGTCCCATTGAGGCTGGTCCTGCTATAGAGAGCTCCCTCTGAACATTACTGCCGTTTAGTCCGTTCGAGATGTCGCCAGAGGCAGTGGTGGTCAACATTGTGCCAGTTAAGTCTGTCAGCAGGCCCCTCATGGTACGCTCCCCTAAAGTCAGATTTTCGTCCGGATTATTGCTGTGTTTCAGCCCACGATCCATCTCTCGAAGCTGTAAGATATTAAGAATGAGAAAAAAAACCTACAAGTAAAACCAAACAAAGCACTCTTACAGACGAGTCCTACCTTGTAAATAAATATAATAAATATTTTAGTGAGAGGATATAAAATATTTCTTTGATAGACAGATAGATCTGAATTTCACCTTTGCCAGATCTGATGTTACACAAATATTCATAACAACCTAAGACAGAGATACAATGACTCGTCACAGCAAGGTTGAGCATTAAAAAAATATTTCTACCTCACTTCTCAACTTTGCTCCCCATGTCCTTCGTCATATAAACTCGTTATAGACGCTGTCGTGCCCCATAAGGCTCATTAACCGCAGTTCATTTATCCGCACGAACCGGAGACGGACTGTGGTGTCTGCTGATGTGCAGGAAAGGCTGAAGGAAGTAAAAATCTTACAATAAAAAACCCCAGACAGTCCTCCAACTAGCCCTCCACAGTAGTGCAACCTGTTGGTCGCGAATGGCCACTGCATCCAAACCAAATCTATGAAGTCAGCACAACTTAATTTATGATAACGTGGGGGGAAAGGGAGATAACCCCCCCCCCTTACAAAGTCACCCGCCGTTTCTATAGGTTAACCGTATACGGTACAGGTCATCGTATTGAGGGAGTATAGTATATTAAAAGCAGACTGAAGCAGAAGAGCAAAGGGCAGGGGGTCCAGCAATAGCCTACCCTTATAACGTTATTCACATAGCTACATGACTAGTATGGGTGCCATTCAGCATTACGGACATGGATCATTTAAAACTATTAAAAGCTATAAAGCGCAGTTACAGTCAGGATATATGTAACGTTACCCGCGTCCGAATGTCAATAGCTGCCTTTTATAAACCTAACGAGAGAGACTAGGAACGAAGCTCTGCTTACCTGCTTGAGAATCACGAAGTACACAAGTTCATTTCCAAGATTTTAATCCAATGTTTTTTCTCCTCCACCTGAAGTCCGACCAGCTAGTCCTGCCTCTACTTCCCCCGCATGTTTGTCACTTGGCTAGCCGCGCTGCGAAAGGCTCGGATGGCGCAACGTTATTCCCGAACAGCCGGGAGATTTTAACCCGAGGTCTGCATTAACCCTAAACCGAGACTGTTTCAAAGTGACGTGTCAAAAAGAAAAGCACTTACAGAGGCGCTAATTCGGCCGCTTTAGTCCACTTAAACAGAAAACAGACCCCTGTGGCAGAGCTGTTGCACTATCCAGACTAACCGCCGGCTCGCAGTGGTGTCGAATGCGGAATCGCCAACGTTACATAAGCAGCTTTGATAGCTGGACGGACGGGCAGCAGCAGGCAACGACCTGCGTGTGGTAATTACGACGCCAGCTAAGCTCTACTGCAGTTAGCTTGTTAGTTAGTTGGTTAGTTAGTTAACTAGTGTTAGCGTCTGCCACTGGACCCTGGTGAACGCCCTCTAAAACTACAGAGCTCCGGCTAACTGAGCAACTGAGCGAAGCAGACAGAAAACTCCGGCGTTATTACTTGTTAACAAACTGTGTTCAGCTCTGTGTCCGTTAAGCAGTGAAAGCACGGCGTCCAAAAGTGCTCGGATGACAGGAGCTACTGACCGTCAGACAGGACGGACATACCCCGTGTCAGACTCACACTTGTCATCTTTTTGGCGTGTGACTTCGCACCAACTATGGTACAGTTTACATACACACAGACAAATGAATCCAAATTTCAGCTCACAGGTTTCGTTTTTTTTTTCGCTTACTTATGGTGTCGACGGGCAGTCAGAGTGAAGTCAGAGAAGCTAACTTAGCTAGACAGCCGTGTTAGCGGTCTAAACGAAAGCTAAAAGCTGCCAATGACAGGGAGCCTAACTTTTCCCCTCCTCTGGTTCACAAGAGAGCGTTCAAAACAGCAAAACGCGGGGAGCAAGGGGCTAAAACACTCCAATTTCAGTTTTCGGGCACTAAAAAGTTGTGAAAAGGACGGGTATTCTGTAAAAAAAGCAGCTAGCCTGCGGCTTAAATGGCGCAGTAACGTTACAGTCCGGAGATAAAGCAAGGGGCGAAGGGCAGGTTCACACCGACAGACAGGAGATAAACAAGAAAAACCAAAAGCTCTTCAGATAAATTCTCTTTTTTAGTTAAAACAGGCAGCTCGAATGAATTCTAGCGTGGCGTAGCCGAGCGTATTGTCCGCTAAATAATGCCCATATGCTCCACAAAATGAATTAAAAATAGAAACAATGCAAGAGACTTTGAACTGCTAGGTAAGAAAGACGTTGACTAATTTACCAAGAAGGGCAGACATGCGCAGACCGCGCCTGGCAGGTTTCTGCCCGCGCGCTGAGAGTCGTATCTATTTCATTAGGTGGTGGGATGCTTGAATTAGGCACAATTAGAGTCATTTTGAATGTTTTAAGCGTTTCTTTAAAGATTTCAAATGATTGAATAACTTTTCTTGTTTTCTGATGCTGCTTTCGGAGTTGTGCTAACTACATGGAGTGACTTAAGCAAGACGAAACAAAGCATATAAACATACTGATTCAATGACAATGTAACGCCACATTCGTCTATGCAGATTTGTTGTACATCTTCAGTGGGCTTTAAGCTATGGTAGTTAAAGGGACATTCCACCCCTTTTTCAAAATTTCTTCATATATAAATCATTAAGATGTAAACAAAGTCATTTAGAGTGGTTTGATGTGATATGCTCCCTTTTAGAGAAACTTGCCAAGTCACAATTTTTCACAGTGGCAGTGATGGGAACCAGACATCTGAAGCCTCCTCACAGAAAGCTGTTACATGAAATGTTTACAAATATGCTGCCTGATGCCTAAGACACTACAGTTTTGAAATAAGTTTTGGCCCAAAACTAAGCCAACACATGCAGATTCACTCCTTGTTTGTGACAGTAAATTAAACAGCTATATATGTGTTGTAAACATTGCAATCCCTGGTTCCTATTACCACCACTATAAAGCAAACAGAATTTTTAACTTTATCTAAAGTGAACCATCAAACCACTCTGAATGACTGTTTACATCTTAACATTTGAATTAAGCAGATGCTTACAAAAAAAAAGTAAAATTCCCCTTTAAAACAAGCAAACAAATGCAAATATTTCACCTAATGGCATATAACATATACTACATGATTTCTCTCTCTCTCTCTCTCTCTCTCTCTCTCTCTCTCTCTCTCTCTCTCTCTCTCTGTCTCTCTCTCTCTCTCTCTCTCTTTCTCTCTCTCTCACTCTCTCTCTCTCTCTCCCCCCACCTAACCACCCACCCACCCATACACAAGTTAATAATCCTATCTTTGTGGAGTTTCTCCACTACTGTTTGCAAACTCAGCCCTAAACATCAGGAAGCAAAGTGAAACATTTTTGCCTTTACTCTTTTAATCATATAAACAAATCTCCCCACAACACCAACAAGTTTTCCACTAGCCTGGAGATATTTGGCCCACACGAAGAGCTATATGTACACACGCACGCTTTAATGTGATTTTAGGACTACGTGGCCTTGCCAGTTTATCTGCTGTAATATGAATTTCAGCTTTATAGAACAGTATTCACCAGCCTGTTTACACTATCAGTGTTTGTAAATAACAGAATATATATGTGCAGTCTTCATAAAGATATAGGTACATTTCTCTGAGCTCAAGAACCAATCAAAAGACCAAGGCTGAATGATAGAGAACAAGTTGGAATGTAACCGCATGCAAGTATTGGGAATACATATTCAGAATACAGAAATTAAGTATCTTTATTTAGTCCAAGTTACCTTTTTAAAAGTCAGAATTCAAAATACTCTTTTAAATTTTAGGAGAATACTTTTAGAATGCTTACCCACCAAATAATAATAATAATAAAAAAAATACACACTTTCTTTAAAGAAACAACATCAATGCTTGTTTATTCACTATTTTAGAATCAATGCATGCTCTTTAAATGAACTCTAAAGAGTAAAGAGTATCTCACTTAATTGCTACTTTACAAACACTGAAGTTCCAGCTAAAGTCTGAGTAAACTGATAAACCAATGTGGTAAACCAGTTATTAATTTTAGTGTTACTGAGCTCTTTTGAGGGATAAATAGGGTGCTTGTGTATTTTGGGACCAATTGCATGTACAGTTGTCATACAGCATTCATGCTAACACATTTTTATCTCAAAGGAAATGAATGGCGGAATTCAAACTTCTGAGAAAATTCAAATTGGACTGCCTCAGATGACGTCACAAAAGACACATCTCTCAAGGCCACTGCACACTGGACATGTCGCATCATGTCGCACAGTGTCCAAAAAATTTAAACCATTGTTTTTAATGGAGGTACACATGGCATGACTCTCACAGCACGCCACACAGCATTTTGCCATTACTACATGAAATTAAACACACATTGAGACCGCAGTAGATCACATGTGACCTTAAAGTCACACAGAGAAAGGCAGTCAGTCTTTTAGGTCAACAGACAACTGCTAATGGTAAGTTACCCCGGCTAATGTTACTATCCTAGCCCTTTTCAGCCTGTACCTTTCAGCTCAAAAGCAGCCAGTTTGTGAAGAGGTAGTAATCTGATACTGTAGAAACAGATTCTATAAAAATGGGCTAGCAACATTTTAGCAACCATCTGGGTTAACATAGCAACACCTTAACAACCATCTGAGATGCCATAGCAACCACCTGATTTTCTCTATATTATGCCCTGTGACAATCCATTATTTTAACCGTAATAATAAGTGGAAAATTATATATTGAGAAGCAATATGACAATATTTTATCATTATTGTGAAAATTGTCATTGTGGATATCATCAGTACTTAAATAGCACTTAAATTTACTTATAACATTAACACAACTGCATATTTCTTAAAAATGATAGCATAACTATTCCAGTTTAATTGGATTTAGTGCAGTACAATATGTGAAATGTTGAATAAAAATCATTGTACTGATATCTGTTTTTAAATGTGCCACTGGCAGAGCATTGTGTCTGTGTAAAAGTATCATAATATGTATCAGGTATTGTGAAATAGCTGAAATATTCTTTTGCAGACGTGATCATTTCTGTGCATTATCCTCAGCTTCCCAGCACACAGCAGGAAAGATCTAGGCTAACATTAATTATGGTAACTATATTGTTATCCAAATTATATTATTCTCGAACGACACCGTTTTTCATACACTATCTCAGGGCGGTCCCCCAAGTATGAGTCCACTGTTGTTCTGACCCGCACTCATCCGTTTGTCGTTTTTTCATCCCTCGTTCCTCCCTTAGAGTCCCATTCGTTTTCACCACCACCCGAACTGTATTACTTGTTTACCCGACAGTCACCAAAATGCATGTACTCATTCAGGGCGGGTCCCCAAGCTCTAATCCACAGCCATACTGACCCACACTCCTCTATTTGTCGTTTCTTCATCCCTCGTTCCTCCCATAGAGTATCATTCATTTTTGCCACCACTCAAACTCTATTACTCCTTTGTCCAACACCCACCGAAATGCAAGTACTCACTCAGGGCACATCCCCAAGCTGTAATCCATAGCCATACTGACCCGCACTCCTCTGTTTCTGATTTTTTCATCCCTCGTTCCTCCCTTAGAATCCCATTTATTTTCGGCCAAACCATAGCCCTATTTTTTCCATTGTGCAACAGACACCAAAATGCATGGGCACATTCCCAGGCTCTAATCCACAGCCACATTGATCCGCACTCATCTATTTGTAGTTTTTTCATCCCTCGTTCCTCCAATAGAATCCCATTTATTTTCTTTTGCAACAAAGCCCTAATCTGTCTTTCAGCCACCAAAGTACATGTACTCTTTCAGATCAGGTCTCCAAGCTCTAATCCACAGCCATACTGACCCGCACTCCTCTATGAGTACTTTTTTCCTCCCTCATTCCTCCTGTAGAACTCCACAGTAACCGCGGCGCAACCATTCCGCGTTTCCTTTAGGAAATGCACTTTTCTAGTTGTGACAGCACTTATACAATATACACATTTAGTGCAGCAGTAATGTGATTGGATAAAAGTATGAGGCCTTGTAAATGTAGTGAGGGCTGATCATAAATTCACACAAATTCCTGGTGCAAGGGCCCTTCATACAATGCTCCCCGGCTGGGAGACTGAAGGCTAGCACATAACGTGAATTTAGCCACATCTTTTCAAGCTGCTGCTAAAGAAATGTCATTGAACAGGTCAACACACTTGAAAGAGAATGCTAACTACCAACTCAGTTTCATCAGCTAACAGATGCCCACATTGGCTAGCATTGTGCAGAACCTCTTCCCTAACTACGCTCTCTTGGACTCCCGGCATGGAGTCGCTGTCTCCCAACGAAAGGGTCAACGCTTCGGCAGTTGTACTACTCAGGAGCCCACATAGCCATTTTGTAAAGAGCAGCTATGCTATGTTTTTCTAGGAAGGTACTACCATTTTTTAAAATGACCAAAAGTAACATCTGAGAATCTACCCAGCATTTCGTACTCCACACCTCCAAAATACTCGACAGTCTTAATCACTTATAGACTGATTCACTCAATCAAATTTGCATTTACACAGAGGAAAGACATGGACTGCATTGTCACCCACGGCTAGAAGAGGAGCTGTTTGCTGTTGAGAAAATGGGGACTGTAGAGTTAGGGAGTGAGGGGACAAGGTGGATGCACCCTCCCATGCCAACAAGCTCATTATGGTGCAGCGAGTGTGGAGTGGGCATGTGCATGGCTAATTAAGCCAGAGGATCACAGCAAGAAAGAGTCTGAACAGTCTCTATGGGCCGGCCTGAAGGAATCACACTGTTCTCTAGGCTGGCAAAACAGCCAGCATGGAACAGAGCTTTGTGTTGTTCAAAAACTACCAGAGCCCATATGAAACAATAGGAAATATGGAATGTGTACCCCTCTAAAATGATAGCTTGTCTGTTTTTATAAAAAACCATATAGTTCACCTAAGATTACTCAACAACTCAGTTTGTGGCAAATATTTAATGAGTTAGGCATCAGTTAGCACTGTGCTAACTGGTGAAGGCATAAGCTTCCAGTACTTGCTAGCTACGTTAGCCTTGCAGCTCCAGTGGCAAACTAAAGAAGCAACATTTGAGCGGCAATCATTTCTTGACTGCTCAACTAGATTAAGTGTGTAAATATTGCTTTAATATATATCTTTAATATACTTTCAAATACGTATATGCCTTGAAACAGCTCTTTTTACGTTTTGTTTAACTTGTTCTCCCTCCCTCCCTTTATTTTTAGACTACAACAAATGTAAAAATGTATTGAAACACGATTGTAAATTGAAGATAAATATGAATCATTACATAACTAACTATGTAATTACTTATGTAAATAGCAAACCGACAACAATAAGACTTCTCAAGGTTAACGTCTGTGATTCATTCATGTACCCAATTCAGCACTCAAAGACTTAGGGAAATGTGATGGGAGTCGAGTCTGGTAATACATTTGTCTTTAGTACAGTCTTGGACATAAGGTAAGCAATAAGCCCCC